AGAGAGACAGAGAGAGAGAGAGAGAGAGAGAGAGAGAGAGAGAGAGAGAGAGAGAGAGAGAGAGAGAGAGAGAAACAGAGACCTGAAAAACATGTGTTTTCCGTCAGAAAATCTCCAACCATTGCGTCAATTACAGCAGCAGCAGCAGCAGCGGCGGCGGCGGCGGCGACGGGAATACTAGTTCCATCCGAGGCGACAGTTAAAAGCATCGCGCGACGAAACACTATTCGTTCAACAAAAGCGCACATAAGCCACGGTAAGGGGCGGTTTAGCGGGGTAACAGAGGGCTGCAACGACACAAGAGGGCACGCGAACGCGAATAGCTGCTGCCGCTATCCTACGTGACACAATACCCCCACAACACCGTGCATCTCTGATCGTGCGAGAAATCACTGGGGTCACAGCACCAGACGGTGGTCGCCAGTGCCTCGTTGTCGAATCATGCTGAGTGATAGAATCAAGCAACGGCTGTAACCAGCCGTGGACGTGTGAATGTACATTTAGCACACACACGCCATCAAGACCATGCGCTACGCTTACGCCCCCGCCGACGCAGAACCCCGAGACCTTGCGACCGGCGAGCTAGCTTTGTGCAATTCCCTCCCTCGTGTCCCATTGAGGAGGGCACATCCAACTGCTGTTGTCGGCTGTCGGGAGGGGGGGGCTGTCCTACGGCAAAAGAGACAAACAAAACCATGCCTATCGCGCGAGAAAAAAATCGGAGAGCTCATGGGTGTAGGCTGGATGGCCCAGGCAGTAGCCGCCGAAGCAAAAAGAAAATCATTGTTGTTGTTGTTGTTGTTGTCTTCACATTAACAACCGTTCCGTTCTCTCTGCCCAGTAGCTTCTTCTGTCCGTACTAGTCTCAACACTTGACGGGGTCGATTCCCGTGGTCACAGGCTAACTTACCATGCCAAAGACAAGTCGGAGAGGACGCTAGGGTAGGCTGCATGGCGCAGACAGCAGCAGTTCAGGGCTCGCCATATCTGCGCGTGTTCAGGTCTAGGCCAAGTGTTCTAACATCCCTACAGAACCACGTTGTACCTGGAACGTATCGGCGTGCACCCGAAACAGCTGGTCGAGGTAGTGGGTGCTTGCGCCCGCAGGTCGGGGGAAAAGCTCCAGCCGTCGCATCTGGTGGGACAGCCTCACGCACAGCTATTGATGCCAAGGCGAGAAGCGAACAAGCGACGAGAAACGCGGAAGCAATTCAGCGTACAGGCAAAGGGTGTTCGCGACCGCAAGGTTCAGTAGCAGCACCGGCTCATAAAACGCCCTTTCGTCTGCAGTCAGTTGTCAAAGAAATGCCACGACGAGAATACCAGCGAGCGGAGCAGCTGTGTTACATCTCTCTAGAGCGAGTTTGTCCGCCGCTGGTGTGTTTACGCTCGAAATTTTTCGCGTGGTAGTGCAGTACAAACGCCTGCTTCCGGCGCAAACGAGACTTCCCAACCGGTATTATTTCCTTGCACAGGTGTGTTCCCTGTGCTTGTTACTGCTGCCAGTGCTCCAAACGAGCTGCTGCAGTTGTGCTCTCATCCCCCCTTTTTCCCCGCCCTCACGAAACAAACCCACACCCACATCTCTCTGGGGTCTATGTAGTAACTTTCCCTGCACTCTCACGGCCCCGCATGTGTTTGTGTAGGCATATGTGTTCGTATGCGAAGCATCGACCACGTCCTCATTATCTATCACTACAAAGACGAAGGTCTTCGGGCGGCAAAAAACGCGATGGCATACGGTAAAACTTCAATTTTCTCGTCCACGGGCCCCTTTGTGCGCCGCCCTTGAAAGAAAGGTTGGTGTCTTGTGTGTATTTTGACTTAGCATCGACCGCGCTAGTCGCTGACCAATGAAAACACGTCAGTTATACACATTGCGGGTGGGATAAAAAACGCAACGCGCTTTCTAAGTCAAAGCTACGACGGGTGGGGCGAGAGGAGTTGGACGACAGCGTTGTCCTGCTAATGACGTGCCAGGAGGAGACTCCATACCACCAGGCAGCATTGTTGCTGCATCGTCTCGTTCTCTCGTATATAATAGTTTTGTTTATGCCGTCGCTGTAAATATTTTTGGGTGCGTTGTAGAGCTCTCAAGGCTTTTTGGTGTCGAACAAGGAACCAGTTTTGCCGGACGCCGCACAAGGTGCACAGCAGTCTAGGCTGGTCGATTACATAGTGCTGCTGTAGTTGTGTGTGCGCCCTTGTCTGCTCGGTGGATACGGTGCTGGCTTAGCTATGGCACGTAGGGCATGGCGATACAAAACGAGTGTCACTTGGGAGACGGGAGCAGTAGCGCTTGCCAACACGACGGGCTGCGGCCCCGGGGATCGACGGATAGTTTTTTTAGGAAAATTGTGCATCATGTAAATCACCTGTCTACTACATACATGTAGCGTTCGAATCCGGCAGCGAACATGGTCCCATTGAGGTTACACGGAGGACAAACAGCGACAACAGGTAGAGGAGAAACGGCCACTGTTGTTACGCATACAAAGGCAACGCGATCTCGCAACGCTAGAAGCGGTACAAATACACCGCCATGTTGCACTTGCGCTCGTTTTCCAACCGAACACAGCGGGACCATCTGTGGTGTTTGTGCGCTTGAAAGAGGACAACACGTGCTCATCATCACCTATTTGGTTGTGGCGGCGCTTACAACCTCCGTCCCACCTGGTCACGGAGGTGGTGAGACACGAACTTGCTCCTGGCGTGGCGGCCGTGGTGCACGAGGCCCCTGAGCGTTGCTCGAACGGGGTGCCGTGCCGTGTAGGTCTCGATGGCGCGCAACAGGCGCTGCGGCGCTCTCCTGCTGCTGCTACTCCCACCGAGAGCGCTCGGAGCCATTCTTTCGATCATGGCGCACTCGTTTGTTGTTGAAGCACTGCAGCCTCAACGGTGCAGGCGCAACGCACGCGCCCGCGCGCACGGTCCCTGTGTGAGTATTGCCGAAGTCCAGCCAAGCAGCTTTCCGCCTGTGGCGTACTCTGCTTGCTCGCCTGCGAACGCTTGACTTCGCCTACCACCAAAGTGTATGTGGTCTCCTTGCTGGGCACGAACACAGCGGAGCAACGCGCTCTGCGTTCACGATGCGCTGAGAGGCTACGCAGCAGTTACAGCAACCGCCTGTTGTGCGCTTCAATGATCAATGATGCTTGTGCCGCGACAACAGCGTCACGCTGGTTGGTTCTGAGTTCTGAAAGGTGGCAGAGTTCTTGTTCGGGGAAACTTTTTTTTCGGGGGGGGGGTGATCCGTTTTGCGTATTGTAGGGGAATAGGAGGTGCCAGGGACAGAGGGAAGAGGGAAGGGACGAGAGGGCGAAACTACCGCCACAGCTTCGCTGGCATTCTCCTGCTCGCCTACACTGTAGAGTATCTTGCTGCCGGAGAGACAGGCTGTGTCGCATGCGTGTCGCGGGACGGCTAATATTTGAATCGTCGATTGCGCCGCATTTCACAGCCGCGTGCTCCCCTGCTGGCGGTTCGACACTCCACCCCATTTCTGTTTCTCCTCTCACGATCACGACCGACATCAGCCACACCACATGGTGGAAGAAAGAGGCAGGTTGTTCTTCCGGAAGAGAAAACACGAGGAGGGGGCCAGGGATCAAAGGTGCCACACAACACTAGCAGCATCCCCTGTAGAAAGAATCAGACTTTGGTGCAGGATAGGCGGATTGGCTGGGGTGCAGAGACACAGCAACCCGGTAACAGTCCCGTGGACCCGCGGATAACGGCAAACCGCAGATTCATACTGCTACAGGCCGTGGTGGAAATAGAGACCAACACACGTGTAGACTTATTAGGCACCCCCTTCTCTTCGCGTTGGGCAGCTATTGTTACTTTTCCAATACTGCACGCCGACCATTCGAGATGCGGCGGGACGTTGACCAGACTACTGCTTGTAGGGGAAGGAAAGCGCAGCCCGTCGTGTTGGCAAGCGCTACTGCTCCCGTCTCCCAAGTGACACTCGTTTTATATCGCCATGCCCTACGTGCCATAGCTAAGCCAGCACCGTATCCACCGAGCAGACAAGGGCGCACACACAACTAACAGCCGCACTATGTAATCGACCAGCCTAGACTGCTGTGCACCTTGTGCGGCGTGTTTTGGCACCTTGGCTCCGTTGCAAGCGCGTGCCGGTGACAGCTTCTGCCTTGGTGAGCATGCAACCCTGCCGGCCACGATAGCACAACATCATGGCTTGAAAGCGAAGACGGCCGACATATTTGTCGGTCTCACAGCACTTTCGAACAACCTCCAACTGATGTGTTCCCGCTGCCTCCTTCCCCGCGCTCATCCTCCAACCCCCCTGTCTCCAACAGCACTTCCCGCTGCCCCTTTCCCTCGCTCATCTTCCACCCCCCCTGTCTCCAACAGCGGGTCGGGTGGCCGGTCACCCAAGGTTGTCGTAATTTCCACTCCTTCCGGCTCCTCGACTCTGGAGAGGGTTAAGTCCTGAGCCTGCTACGGAACGGTATCCACCACAACCCCAACACTTGCACCCCTGCGCAGTACGGCGAGATCCCCTGTTACGTGCAAAACAGCAGCCCGCCCACGGACGGTGCTGTTGTTTTGGGCGTCTAATTAAGGCGAACCGGTGCTGTTGTATTCGGCGTCTACGTAAGACGGACTTGTGCTGTTGCTTGGGCGTCTACTTAAGGCGGACAGGTGGTGTTGTTTGGGCGTCTACGTTAGACGGACCAGTGCTGCCGTTCTGCGCGTCATACCTACCACACAATGTCCACGACGTACCGCCAGCTGGTGCTGCGCCTACCGGACGGCCTGAAGGAGGCGATGAGAGAAAGGGTGGCCGCGGACACGGGGATGGAAGGGGTCGACTTCACGCCGGAGAAGAAAGGGAGCAGAAGGTGGGGCGAGGGGTTGGGGCTGTATAGGCCCGCAGGTTGTTTCCAACGGACGACCCCACGGCAGGGTATGGGAGGGTAGGGTAGGACAGGGCAGGGAGGGGTATACTCATAGCCGTGAATGCCGTCGTCGTTAGACCATTGGCCTCGCAGCCGGGACGGAGCACGCCGGGTTCTCACCGGACCAGGCTCTAACAGGGAGGGCCTGGAAGAAAGCGGGTGCTCACCTTTTGCTTCTCTCGCGTTTGTCGTGCTGTTGGTGGAGCTCCAGTCGACGCCATTTCAGCCAAACAACAACTGCTGTGACAGCTTCAATGCATTCTATTTGATGATGCGGGAGGTTTTGTTAGCGCGGGCGGTCTGTTTGCCCACTCTGTACAGCAACAAGAGTATTTTGGATTTTCGAAACCGAAGGGTAACCCAGTCGAGCGTCGTGGTGACCGTTTCGACAGGTTCACGTTCACGATGGATGGGAAGAAGTACCCCGCCCGCTTGGTGGACATGCCGTGCGTGCTGGAAACCCAGAAGACCCTGGACAAGAGGACCTTCTTCAAGAGCGGGGACGTCGGCCAGATGCTCATCGTCTACAAGGTGTTGTCTCCCGTTTCTGGTTGGAGGTCTCTCTGATGCCCTCGCTGTTCACTGCCGTTGGTACGACCGCAAAACCTTAGTAGCCAAAAGAGGACATTATACAATGGGGTTGTTTTTTGTACGTGCTCAGAATGGCTGGGGGCAATGTTTCCCGACCCCCCTCCGTTCATGGTGCTACTCGCCGGACACCTCACGGCGCTCAACGCTTGGCGCAATCCGTCCTTGCCTCATCGCGAAACCACGCCTCGCGATACACGTCCCTTAGAGTTTCCCACGAAAGCCCACAAGCGCCACCAACAATGGGTTTGCCCCCCCCCCCCCCCCCAACGACATTTTTAAAAAAAAAAAACCATGGATGTCCCTACAACACGGTCCACTGTACAAACAAA